CACCTGGCGTCGGGCTCATCGTGGGTCGCGCCGCCAACACGCCCCGCAGGACCTCGTCAGGTGTGCATCCCACGCCCATGCACATGGATGCTCAGCGTCGTCGGGACATGCTGGAACAGTCATATGAAGGACACGAGCCACTGCCCATGTTAACCCGTGGCCAAGGTGCAAGGCTACGGCAGTTTGGCAGCCTCGTACGGGGCAAGTCCCTAGTCCATCAGAACTAGAAGATTGTCATTCAGCCTAATAAGGTTTAGAAGATGTCACCCGTACATCCTATGTGATTTACGTTGATCTGAGATTTTTCAAGTAGAGGGACCTACATGGAGATACAAATGCCATCAATGTGGCATCTTCAAGCACTCTGTCCGTAGATTCTGTGTCTTGGCCATGTCACGGTTCTTGTGGAAATTGCATTAGCTAGCATAGGATGCACCTTGGGCTGGAAATAAATGAAATTCTGTGGTAGCAAAAGAGATCCAAAGGGGTTGTCTTCAGTTCTCTAGTCAAAGTGCTTCGTGCCATCAGCTCCCTTCAAGCCTGCGGTCTGCTGCAGCTTCCGCTAAGGCCTCCAACTCGTTGGCTGAGAGTAGGCCATCACCTCGCTTGGTCTGCTCGAGACCCTCCGGCATTCCGACCAAACGATTACAAACGACTCCTTGTCCCATGACTGTTTCCAAGGTCGAAGGAGTTCCCAAAGGAGCTCCCATGGCTGTTCAAAGTACTTCAGTACTTCGGGTGTCTTCCAAGTTCCGGATACTGCATACCAATCGATGCCCCGACGCGCGATTCAACACGTTCCGGTGTTCGTGGACCAGGGCACTGTCATTGCCACGCGCGTCGGTGAGGCGTGGCGCTTGGTCGCTGCAGCCCAAGGTCAGTTGCTGGAGCCGTCCCAAGGAGAATGGAAGCGATGTGAGCCTCGAGGTGAGGAGCTTCAGCTTCATATCTCAGACTGCAAATCGACAGGGTGGAACCGTATTATGGAACAAACCATGTGGAACCATGTGGGTCTTTGGTGGCTTGTCAAAGACTTTGTGGACTTCATGCTTTCCTTACTCTTTCACCAAGGGTCTTGGAATGAGCAACAAGCCACAGGATACCGCAGGAATTGGTACCCAAGTGACACTGTACCAGGACGGGTGCTGTGGCGACTAAGGGAACTTGCAGCCTTTAGGTCCGTGTATTTCTTCTGGTTGGGCCTATGATGGCGGTTCTTGTTACCTCGAGTCATGCCATGCCCGTCCACACACGTGGGCTCCCGCAACTTCCAATGAGACGCGGGTGGTCTTCGGGGCCTGTTGGCGTGGCAGGTCCATGGGTCTTGGACGGACACTTCACAGAAAGGTAAAAGCTCTTTCGACATGAGATATAGGTTCTCAGAACTGTTCTCAGGATACCTCAGGATCTTAGTCCCTTTATTCTGCCCACACATGTTCTTTGCACACCTAGAGGGCCAAGGGCTGAGGGAGTCTTTGGAGATCCTGCAGGTCAGCGTGACACAGTTCTTCTTCGCGACAGTGGGCCCTTTGCTTCATCCATTGAGTCAGATTTCAACATGTCAAAAGACCGCTCCTCCAAAACAACTTTTCGACTTTCAAGCAACCACAAAAACACCTTTGGTGAGTCCATCCTCAAACAAAGCCCTTCCTGCCGAGGGCCCAGGGGCTCAGGAAGCTTCAGTTGATCCAAGAGGATCTGAAACTGCTCGTCGTCCAAAACACTCGGCATGGCCTCGCGTGGACACCACCAAGCAGCCGCACTGCAGCTGATTGGTGCTGAATTTCTTGTTGTTTTTCCTTGTGCATTCCAAAACTCCAACCACCAGCCCCGCGTGCGGACCCTCATGTCTGATTTCAACGTCATGACGGACATCTGAAGGAGAAACAAAAATGGCTTCGTTCTTCGCTTTTCTTTTGAACGGGACATCGCCGACGGATCAACCTTTCGGGCTCCCATCCGTCGCCGAGCGGAGTGCACGGCCCCTCCTTCAGCACCACGTCGATCCGTGGATCGGATGCCGTCAGCTGCGCCATAGGCCGCTGGGAAGCTAAGAGTTGCCCTGGTGCGGTGGAGCGATCTCCAGTCTGATCAGTCTGTGGATTTGTATGGTTTTGTGGGTTTTCGGAGGACCATGCATCACGGACGTTTGTAGATCAGCGGTTCCACTGCACAATTGATGAGCGCTTGATTGGTGGAATCACGTGGCACGCCGAAGAGGTTTGCTCAAGTCCAATCAGATTCAGGGGCTGAAGCAATGGAAGGTCCTTCCGCTGAACCTTGAGACTCTGTTCCCCGTGAGAATTAGAACCAGATTCGTCTTTCGGGAGCCCAGGGAGGCCTATGAAGCCTCTTTTTGGACCGGATGAGCGTATCCACTTTGAAGCAAGTCAAACATCCAGTCAACCCACCAAGGTTGAGATCGACATAGATCGACTAACATCTGAAAACACAGATACACTGCCACACAAAGAGCGCACAATGGATTATTATTACTCAT